ATGTATGTATGTATGTATGTAGCTGTGTGTATATATGCATAGTATCACGAAAGCTAGCTCTGTGAATCCTGCGGGAGTTGTCGTTTACCGGTTCACCTAAGCAGTAGTGACCCAGTCAAAATCGTGTCTAGGGCCTCATCTGTCCTTTCAGAATGGTTTAAAGGGGGCAGGGGGGGGGGGGCGCTAGTTTGTTCATTGACGTTGCTTACTTTCTTCATGTTGTGTATGTTTTACGCAAGTTTAGAATGTCGACCCGGCAGGATTCTATCAAGCACCATGGCAAGTGCATCTGTTGCTTACGCATGTTTAGGGTGTCGACGCGGAGATTCCAGATTCCAGCACCACGCTGTCTTTACGCGGCTGAGTGCATCTGCGTGCCTGTGCCCACCCTGCCGAGCACGCGCGCAGTGACGCAGGAGCTCTAGCAACTCTGCCTACTTTGTTTGCCCTATCTTTCGTGGCCCTCTTTTGGAGTGTGTGTGTGTGTGTAGATCTATATATATATATATGTGGAACATACACTTATATACACTTATATAGTTATAGATGTAGCCATGACCACACGTAAGCATGAACAATGTATACACAACGCCGATTTCTCTATCTGTGCCCAAGGCGGACTTCGATGCGGAGGTGGCTCGGATAGCTGGCCCCAGGCAGCAGGTGGCTGCACACGTCTTGCCCGGCTTGGCAAGTTGACTCCACTTGTCAGTGCCTTGCAGGCCAACACAAGCCTTCCGGAGGCAGATGACACGGATGAGGCGCAACTGTCGTGGCAGTCAGCTGCAACTTTTTGATATTCGCAAGCTGGGGGATGCGCTATGCATTGCTGAAAACACGCACCACCGAAATCATTGTGGCATCGGAAGCCTTATGTCGAAGTGCTCTGTACTGGCTTCTTCGTTGTGAGGTGGCATACGACATCACGGATAAGGCCAGGGGTCCGACAAACCGCACGCTCATGAAGGATGCGCAGCTTGTAGAAGGTGCTTTCCCAGTACTCGCATAGTTTACTTTCAACATGGTAGGGAGATCCAGCCCAACTGTCCAGAACTTATACTTTCTTCCCTTTGCCCATTTCTCAAACGCATCTGCAGATCCTCAATGAAAGTCGCCTGAGCTTAGCAATGGCCTGAAGCTGGCTGCCATGCTTTGGGTGCAGTGAATGCTCGCGAAGCTCTGTGGTGCTTCCTGGAATCCGCCAACGCTGCATGATCCCTTCGACGCCACTTTAGCACGCCGGCGTGTGGCACGGGGCCTGAGACCGGAAGATGTCCAAAGTGAAAGACACGTTCTGGCCTCGTCTTTCTTTGGGCACGCGCCAGGAAGTAAGTCCGTGCACTATTCCGACAGTGTGGCGCCTGACCTTGCATCAACGCGAGCTTGCCATCCGGCTAGAAGATCTCAAGCATTGTCTTTTTTCGAGGATGCATACCAGGCATCGTCGAACCAGCGTGTTCGAAACGACGAGAGCTTGCAGAGGGCAGAGGGACAGAAAAACGTGAAGTTGGAGGATTCGAATCCAGAAGACTCAAGGGTACCTGCCCCCGAGGAGGATGCGGAGGATCCCGCTGACGCTTACAAGACACAGGAGGAAAAATTGCTGAAGCGGATCCACGACGACGAAGAAGAGGTGGTCGAACTGGTGGTCGCCCAGAAGGCAGCCGCGCAACACGAAGCGCTATCACTGCAGCATGCGCGAGCCGCTGCCGCGAGAAGGGCGGCTGCCCATGCTGGTGTTTCGCAAGATTCGGTCGCTCATGCTGGGCACCGGAAAGCACACCACTTGTCACACAACGAGCGGATCTGCCGTAGGAGGAAAACTCCGTTGGAATGTCAGGATTTGAAGGCACAGTGTGGATGGTTCGGTGACGAGGATACAGGCAGATGCCACCACAAGGCTCACGGGGAATGGCCAAGCGGCACCGATTTTCTGTTTCAGGTTGGAGAAGTTGCGCTACTAGAGTCATTGGTGATAGCGACGGCTGTTGTGTCACGGCTGCGTGGCAGGGAATTCCTGCGACAGTATGCAGAGAATGCGAGCTATAATCTGCGATCATCCATGTGGTATTTTCCCACCGTGCTGATGTATGGCTTGGTGGGCCTATACTACTACACGCGCACGATGGGCTGGGAGGCTCCCCAGACCGCCTACTTCTTGGTGCAAATCGTGTCCACGGTTGGCGACAACGACATGACCCCCATTCAGCCTGTCCCGAGACTATTCACTTTAATCCACATTCTGCTGGGTCTCGTTCTCGTCGGAGGTGCAGTCGGAGAAGAACTCGACGAAATCCTGCAGAGCCGAGTCAATCGGATGAGCACTGCTGTGGCACGAGGGGCAGATTTTCAAGATCTACTGCCGATCTTGTGGCGTGTGGCAGCTGAGGCCCGCGATGCTGCCGGCTCCAACGATCAGCTTCAGAACATCATCGAAAGGCTTGAGAGTCTGCCTCAGCATCCGCGGGAGTTCCGTCCGACTCCGAACCAGCTTCGCTGGCTGCGGGAGGTTCGTGGCGGGGAGGTGGTGCTAGCTGAGCTGACCGGCACCGGTGCGCTTATCCCGTGGCCACAGCGATCTGCACTGTGGACGGGAGCAGGCTGGCGGATCAAGGCTCTTCTGCCTCTCCTCCGCTACGTTCTGGAGAATCCCAGTGGGCCCATGCCTACCTACGACCAGGAGAGCTTGCCGAATCAAATCTTGGGTAGTAGGCCTTAGTAGGCCCAGTCTTGAACCTTCGTCCTTTTGCAGGAGGCTACCTTAGACATTCTGGCAGCTCGGCATGGGACGACGTGATGATCTGAGGTCTTCTGCAGCGGAAGAAGGTTACGGGGTTAGCCTCTTGAGACCCAAGCTCCCCTCTCTCCTTGAGATGCCGCAAGAAGCTCTTTAGAATTTACAGCGATGGTCTCGGCGAGGATAGGGACGGTTTCGTTAGGATTCTCAGTGCCCATTTCGTCTTCACTCACAGCTCCCCGCCCTTTCTGATCGACCGAGGAAGACGATGTCATGAAGCTCGGCAGACATTGGGCACTCGTATCATCTACCGTCAACTGTACTGCCCACTACTGTTTGGACTTTTTGAGACCTTGAAACGACCACAGCGTCAGAAATCACTACAAATGCGGCTCTATGATACGGATATGATAGTTCATGAGCAGTCTCAGCAAAAGTATTGCGATGCTAGAGGCACTTCTCGGATCGCAGCTGGGTGGAGCACATGTGCACGGCCTGTCTTGACAGAGGTTCGAAGCCGACTTTCCGGACCCGGCATAACTTAAGCGCGGTGTCCTTGAGTCAGGGGGTGATGTTGAACCTTCCTCAGCCCCCTTCCGTTGAACAAGTCCCATATTTCGCAGTTTCATTGAAGATCCAAGATGATCAAACTGAAGATCACGGAAGTCTGATCGAGGCTCCAAACCCTCCATCATCCCGACCTCGGACCCAGATGTTAATACCGAGATTCGATCAGCACTTCACGACCCTGATCATCAAAAGCTCCGTGGACATCGGCAACTTGCTTGCAGCATGTGCTCGTAGGCTGGATGCAGGCTTGGCAGGTTTTCGGCCACTGCACGAGGCGTTCAAGACTTGCAGATTCTGTTTGCATGCCAAGCCTGCGCCTTGTAGCCAATTCAAGAGGCTCCCTCCCCGCCAGCCAAGGCACTGTCATTCTCTCCGGGACGCTTTTCTTTGGCATGGTCTCAAACTGGATCCGCGGCAAGTCTGCCTTCACCTTGTTCGATGGCCACCTGGCGGCAGAGAGAGGAGGTCTAATGAATGCAGGTAATCTAGCGGGTACATCTGTTGCGGGACTGCGTTAGCTACTGGCTTCAGGTTTATTCTTCTCCGTTGCCAGTGCATCTTCGGTGGGCTCGCTTGCCCCTCAGATTCTGCAGAGAGGCACATCAGGTCTCCCCAGCACCTGAGCAGGTCCGGAGATGCATTTACCGCAACGGCCATCGAGAAGGACTGCTGTTGTACTTTTTGTCCATCCTTGTCCCAAGAAGCAGTGGGCCCGGGTTTGCTGCCTCGCATCGCAGCATGCTTCGACACGTGCAGGCCGCCAGTTGTCTCCTCTTCATCTGTGGGAGCTACAGCTGCTTGGTCTGCTGCTTTCTTCCAGGCTCATCTTTCAGAGGTGAGATACTGTGTCGGCTTCCAGAAAGACGTGCCGAGGCTTCAACCGCTTCACCATGTTCATGTCTGAGGCCGAAGTGCTAGGGTTTGCCACAAGCTCACAAGTCATGGAAGCTACGGGTCAAGCCTTCTGACATGGAAGATCACGGAAGTAACACTCTGGCATCTGCTACTGGTTGTATCTGCCACATTTTCGGCTTGTCCCTGAAGGTGATGGCCTTCAAGGCGCGCTCTTCTGCCTGAACCCTGCGATAGTCACAGAGCACCGACCGGTCGGTCATAGCATGTCTTTGCGTTTGAAGAGGTTCAGTTTGACTTCAGCGGTAGCAACATCAGAACGCAAGACTGACAGTGAAGTCAGCAACAACAGCAGCACTCGCTACTTCCTGCTTCCAACAGCGGATCATGGGTTCGTGGATATGGTTCTGGGGCCCTCCATGTTTTCAGAGCGCGGTTGACTTATGTGAGTACATTGGTCTTGCTGGTAACCAGCCTTTGTTTACGCCGGTACCAGCTTTTTCAGCGGCATGGAGCACACGCAGCAGCTCCCAGAACTGTAATTGACCCAAGTCTGTAAACCCTGAACGCGAAAGCCCTTACTTAACTCCTGAACGAACCACAGAATCTGCAGAACCCCCAAGCATTCAGCCCTAAAGTAAACATCTGTTTCACCTTTGGTGTCCGGGCGCAGGTGGAGAACTCACAAACCTTGCTGGCCGCACTGCCACCAGGAGCGGGCTGCCCGACACCCGACGCCCCTCGAGTACCGATGCCGTACTGTACCGACAGTCATGAAAGCCAGCAAATGGGAGTTTCCGAAAACAAGGGGTACCTTATTTTGGGGTCCTTATAATAGGGGTCCTACTATTTAGGGTACCATATTAGGGTCAGGGTCCCCTATTTTCGGAAACCCCCAAATGGCAAAGCAAGGGGGTCGGACGTGGGCCGGGGGGGCTATTGACCGCATCACGTGTCGGCTCGTTGGGCTATTTAGCTCTGAGGCGGGTGGGGCGGGTCAATAGTGATTGGTTCAAGGCAATGCCGGTTTCCGGGACGACGGGTGTGGGGATTGTCAACAGTGGGCTTCATACCGCGAGAACAACAACGCTCCGACGCATGAACAACAACGCTCCGACGCATGACAATGCACAAACTGCAAAAAGCCGTTTGCCTCGGTATTTACGGTGTTTTCCGTGGTCAGCATCCGGGCATACTAGTTTGTATACGGTGTGTTGTGCTTGCGCGCTTTTGGAATTGATTCTTTCAGGCGCTAGGCTTGGCTTTGCGCAGAGCCCAGAAGCCTGAGATCTAAAAGCTTCCAAACCAGAGTTGCTACAGTAGGCTGCCCTGCAAGCTTGACGCCTGAAAAAAACTTGCAATTGGGCCTGCTGCTCGAAGAGCAAGTGCATCCAAGACGAAAACTAGCATCGCGCAAATGACAGAGCTACCGCGGTGTCTAGTTCAATCCCTTTTTCCACTTCTTCGCATCCCTAAGAAGAAGGAACAGGCAAGGATTGATGATTGCACACATACATAGTATGTATGCATGTATATGTATATGTATATGTATATGTGTTTGTATGTGTATATATATATGTACAAGAATATATACACACATACACAGAAAGGCACACCGACATGCATGCATACTCGCATACATACATACATACATACATACATACATACATACATACATACATACGTCACATTAGGTGTGTCTGTGCGTGACTACAAGATTTTGCCACCATCTAGTGGGTTTAGCTCCTAAGAACTGTTGTTAGCTTCGTCGCTAATATTCGCAGAATAAGATTAATAGCAAGAAGAAGAAGATAATAGTCGTAATCATATGAATAAGACCAATGTACTGGTAAGAATAAGCATGCGACTTCTGGCAATAATCGTGTTTAAGTAGTAACATACTAACAGCAGCAGTCAGAAGTAGCAGCCTCGTTACTCAGTCCTTTCTCATGCAAGCCAGCTGCTGGAGGCTTCAGCGAGAAACTGCACCGGCTACGGAAGGGTTCCGGAGGGCAGGCTCCATGTGGGAAATCCTGGAAGTTGGAGTTCCGGGCTCTAGGGCTTGTGTGTGCGTTGGTGATGCGAAGCTACAAACTTCGAGTGCACGGGCGGAAGTCTCAGTTGAGAAGAGGATGTTGCAATTCACTTGCCGTTGCAAGTGTTGTCGGGCTTTCTGGCATTCTATCCGCCACATGCAATACATCTTCGTTCTGTCCCAACAACGGTAATTGCAAGCCTTTCCTTGCTGCTTGATCGATCGCACCTGACTTGTAGTGACTGTGAGAAAGTTTCTCGATGCCTGCTGCACTTCCAGACCCCAGGGTGCGGTATTGGCAGCTGCTGGCACTTTGAAGTCTCGGAACCCTTCGCAAGCACAGGACCTCATTGACTTATACCTACATAGCAAACTGTCGACAAAATTTCGACCGTCTCCTCAACTTGTCGGCGGCTTCCCACTTCGGCATCCCAACGGTGCACATGCTCGACACTTCCAGGCAGATGCGGCCTTCGCCGTGGAGGTACCGCGGCCACCCCGACCTCCTGCGGAGGAGCGGGCTCCGCCCACCGCTCCGCGGAGAGAAATTTGAAAACGAGGGCTTTGAGGATTTCGGTGTCAAGGAGGACCAGGATTTGCTCAATTTAAAGGGCACTGCTTGCCATGACGGGGTTACGCGTGCCTCAGTTGTATACAGTAGCAAGTTCTGGGTTTAGGATTTCAGGATGGCTGAAACAACCAGGTCGAGGTCGACGGCTGGTGACTCTTCTATTTTCAAACCACTTGCAGCTTGTCGCCTCGCAGCTCGGGCCATCGGAGGGCACCAAGGCCTTGCGAATGGGAACTTGCAGTTTGCACAGAGTCTGCACTGCAGCAGAGGATCAAGGTGCACGCGGTCACCCGTGGTTTCGGGTTTCACCTCGGTGAGGCTTTGGGCAGATTCTATTTCACTGGGCCATTACATCTCTTGCAAAGCTCCGATGTATTCCTCTGTTCAGCAGGGTCAGTTGCAGAGCGACGCCATAGCCGCAAAACTTCTAAAGCACCATGCCGTGGCGTCTTCTTACTCTGTGTAATCCTACATTTGCAGGTGGGTGGCAGCATGGGATTTACACATCGGCTGCAGAGCCATGGGCGGTGCTCAGGCAATGTTCTGCTCTTGCTGGGAGCGCCAGAAGCTCCAAGCAGATTTCCAGCCCTACGCCAAAGAGCCCTCGGCAAAGCCGAGGAAGATGACAGGGAGGTTACCTTGGAGATGTGCACGCGCAAAACCTTCGTGGAGTTGCGGGAGGCCCGCAACTCCACGAAGGTTTTTCGCGTGCCAGGGTAACCTCTCTGTCATCTTCCTCGGCCTTGCCCCTTCCGTCAGGTGAGGCTGGGGTTGCCGAGGGCTCTTTGGCATAGGCCTGGAAATCTGCTTGGAGCTTCTGCAACTGCGGCAGCACCTGACAGAAGGGGCCGAGGAATACCACAAGGAAGTCATCTTGGAGATCTGCGCGCGCGTAAGACTTTTCAATCCCTAGAGTTGCGGGAGGTGACAGAGGGCAGCGAGGCCACAGGGTCCCAAAGAGCTTCCCAAGGAGCTTCAAGCCCTGCAATGCCAATGCATGGCGTGGAGCTCCTCGGATGCTGTGGCGGCAGAGAGCAAGTCGCAGTCGCCGCATTGCCGGGCAACGTGGAGGAGCATGCTGTGGAGCAGATCAGCCAGGTGCCGCGCTTGCTCGACGACCCCTACGAGCCGTACGAGCCCTTCCTCACCTACGAAATTGTGATAGCGGAACGACGCTGGATAATCCACTGCCGTTCTGACACCATCTCATAGGTGAAGAAGGGCTCGAATGGGTGATCGAGCAGCTGAAGCGCAGGAACCTCACTCACCTGGTCAGCATTCTTCTCTCCTGCACGTTGTTTTCTCCACTTCGTGGAGAAAGGTCCGTTACAGACCCCACGTGTGTGCATACACATAGGCCTCGCCCTCGGGCAGCAAGGGCAGGATCTCCATGTTTTTGCAATGCTGTTTGGCTTGCGAAGACCCTCGAAGGAGACATACCGCAAACAAAAGTCTGACCTGGGCCTCTGCTTGATAACAACATTCTTGATCAAGCTCTGGTTGTCATTTGGCTCTACTTCGTGCTATTTCCTACATGGACAGAGTTCAACTTGATTCCCTCATCGACCAGAATCGCTTTGCAGAATGCCAGCCCTACTTTGACCGGTTCTGCTTCACTTTGCACGTTGACCAGTCTCACTGTCGCACCTTGCAGAATGCCAGCTATATTTTGACCTGTTCGGATGCACCGGGTACACCCGAGGGAGCAGCCATGTAGAGTTGGTGGACTGCACAAGCGATAGCCATATTGTTGACTATCTTGACGGATCAAGTTCTTGTGTTTTGTTCAGCGTTTCTGATGCACAGTCCCCATCTCTGAAAGCTCTGACTGATCAATTGCTACAAACGCAGCCAACATGACCGGTTGGTTCCAGGCCGTCCCGCTTCAGTTACCTTTTTTGCCAGTGCTTCTACGGTCATGACCAGCAGCAATCACCACAAGTCCAATTCAATGAGGATTTTCAGGGGACCCTAAACCCCAAACCCGAAGCCCCTAAACCCTAAAATTCAGGGACCCCGACGATTCGCTCCTTCTCGACTTTTCCCCGTGAAAGAGTGCATCAGCTGAGGATCTGCCACCTGCGGCTAGCAGTGCCTCCCCGTCCAGGCAAGGCGAGAGCATTGATACGTATATATATATATATATGTGTGTGTACATATGTACATGTATGTATGTATGTATGTATGTATGTATGTATGTATGTATGTATGTATGTGTATACATATACACTTTATACGTGTGTGTATATATAAAATACACATATCTGCATATGTATGTATATATATATATATATGCGCACTAGCATTTGTTGCATACGGATAGATATCTATCACATACAGATGCAGATACATATTATGCATATATATATATATCTACATATGTATGCATGCACATACGTGCACATACATACACATACATACACATAAACACACCCACATACACATACACGCACGCATACGCATACGCATGCATGCGTACATACACACATATACGCTTGCATATACATATGCATATACGTACATGCATACATGTATACATACATACATACTGACATACATACACATAGACGCACACACACACACACACATATATATATATATATACATACAACACCTTGTGGACACATACATGTGCACAAGTGCGCGCACACACACAGGCACACATACATACATACATACATACATACATACATACATACATACATACATATATACGTACGTACGTACGAAAATGAACGAATACATATGTACATGTACATGTATAAGAACAAAAAGTAGGATCGATCTGCACCGATGCTGTATGTGTTGTACGCATAGGCTTATCCATTCAGAGATTAATTGGTTTTTTCCAGCACTTATTCGTCCGCCCCGTGAGGTGAAAGTCAGAGCTAGACAAAGTATACATGCAAGTTATACATCTGTATATATATATATAAAGGCGTAAATGTGTATGTATATATATATACACACCCACATATAGAAATATATATATATATATACATGCATACATACATCCGTAGAGGTTGTATATATATATATATATGTGTCTACACACACACACACGCACATACATATATATATATATATATATATGTATATATATATATACATATATACAGGTATCAGGCATACATTCACATGTAAGCATTCAGACCGGTTTTGGTTTCATCATCAGTGGGTGTGTTTTTTGCCTGGGGGTTCCGCGTGAGGGTTGCAGAACCAGTAGTAAGTTTCCGGCTTCATTCAACATGTTTTGCAAACCTTGTGAAGTCTCCCGTGCGTCAGATCGAGAACTGGTAAAGTCGAGCACGTGCAGCTTTCATCACCATTCCTGGCATCTCACGAGCAGCCGGGATGCCAGAAGCAAATGCACCAGCTACAAACTGCCTGCAAATGCTGCCGGCCCAGCCCGCATTGCAATAAATGTACCTGTTCTGCGTATATGGTGCTCTCGCAGCCCACCGTCTCACGCTCCCTTGCTGCCTGGTGGACGATTTGACCACAACTGTACTGTAAGTATCACGAGATTATAATTCTAGTATAATAGACCCCCCCCCCCAAAAAAAAAAACCTCTTGTGATTATTTAGGGCCCTATATCACGAGAGTAGGGAGGAGGGCCCGACCTCCGAGAGTCACGGTAGGTGCACTCCGTCTGCCGTGTTGGAGCAGCAGCTGTGGCAGCCGAGAGCAGAATCTAACAAATGCGGCCCCAACTCAAAAACCCAAACCCTAACACGTATACGTCCATTATATACACACACATATATATTTTTTTCCTTAGTATATATATGTATATATATATATACATCTATAAACGCCTAGCCGACCGTAACCCCACAAACTCTCATTTCCTGGCAGGCCGGCATCTGCTCCCCGGCCCAGCCCTGCAGCGACTCCCGGCGGGTCGGCGCCGGCGCCGGCAGCGCCGGTTGCGGTGCCTTAGGCTGCAATCTATGGGTTTTTAGGGTTTAGGTTTTAGGGTTTAGGGTCTAGGTTTCAGGGTTTAGGGTTTAGGTTTAGGTTTTACGGTTTAGGGTTTATGATCTATAATTGCCTATACCTTTTTTGGGGTTCCTTATTGTGACTA